TAGGGGTTTTCGATTGTATCAGTATAGAAATGTTTAAAGCAATTGCAAAACAACGAATATTTTCGTACTAAATCGTCTAAGAGAAAGGCGCCCGAGTGCATAGCTGATTGCCCTCCTATCGTTGACGCCTACTAATGGAGCTGACTGCGTAAATCCCCGGCGGCCTTTTCGTAAAAGTAGCTTGCAGTGACTTCTTGACTAGTATTTTGCGAAAACTCATATCCTCCTGGCCGATTAACTCCTCTTCTTCTCTCCAGCGGGCGTTCAGTTCAGGTCGGTTTTATTAAAGGAAATATAGTTATATGTCTTTGACCTCCCAAAAGGGTGGAGATGCCAGTAAAAAGAAGTGGCTGAAAATAGCCGACAGTGAACAAATACTGAGGCATTGCTAGGAAATCCTAGAGGTTAATGCCATTTGAGAGAATTTAAGGAGAAAAATGATCGCCCCATGGAGGACAGGTTTGGATGCAAAACTGATGGCCTGCTGCTGAGGGTTTAGAGCATGTCAGAAGGAGCCCACCGCGGTTTATATCTATATTCTAGAACTCACATGAGAAGCGAATCTGAGAGGTCATGAAAGCATCAGCGGGTGTAAGAAATGTGCCTACCTTAATGCCCTTGCTGGTTACCGAGTCTGCTTGCCAGATGACGAAACAGAAAGTCCTACCATGATCCTTAGCAGCCGGTTATGGAAGGTCATTAGGAAGAACCTTACAGGGCTGTGTAGCCTGGGAACATAAGGTTCGGTGGAGGTGATAGTTGCAATTCGCATGAAAGGGAAAGCGTACGAGGTAGATATTCTAGGCAACCATATTACTAGAAGGAAACAAGACGTATGTTTTTAGGACGTGCAATTACTGAGGGATATCCTGTGATATTACTTAGGGCTATTCTCAGAGGACGCGGTAGCTCTACTGGTCTAACCTAATCTTAAACGTCTTTACAGATGAGGACGTAAAAATGTCCGTGGGCATAGCATTCCATGCCTGAATTGGGAAGAACTTTACAGGGCCGCGAAGCCTAAGATCATAAGGTTCGGTGGAGTTGAGTAATGCAATTCGCATAAAAGGGAATGCGTACGAGGTAATAATCCTCACCAAAATATTACTGGAAAGTAGCGAGAGGTATGTTTTGTATAACGTGTAATTTCTTGGTGGTGTCCTCTAGCGTAGACTGGGGCTAATCTTGGCATAAGTGCTGAGCATTACTACAGCAATCTAGCTTGCTCATAAAAAGTTCAACGGAAGCGTACATAAGAACATCTAGGGCGGAGCATTCCAAGCTTCACCCATTCTATTACAAAAAAGGACTTTCGTGTGTCTAGTCTGGCCACTGGTACACGTACTTTGCATGGATGAACCCTTAAGTACATAGTTATTGCTAACTAGAAGAAGCCGCTAGGTAGAAGGCAGCAGTCCTGAGCGCACATGATAAGAAATATTTTTATGTCACCACGTAGCTGCCTGTAACTCAAAGGAAATAAATCAAGATTTAACATTTTTCACAGGATAACGTGCCCTATCGGGTCAAAAGTTTCGTTGCACACCTCTC